TCTCTGTGGCTTTGGAGCCTGTCCTGGAACTAGCTCTGTAGACCAGGCTGGTCTCGAACTCACAGAGATCCACCTGCCTCTGCCTCCCGAGTGCTGGGATTAAAGGCGTGCGCCACCATCGCCCGCCCGTGCTTTTTATTATAAGGAAGACCTGGGAATGTTATGGTTTTGGTCCCTTTAAGAGACAAGCCACACCCATTCCCCTCCCCATCCGCTGAGGCAGGCTGATCTTCAGCTTCTGGCCTGAGCTCACTCTCTTTTCCATCTTCCTCTCAGAGAGGCAGCTTCGCTTCTGCCTCTCTCCCCACTTCTCTGCTTCCCCCCTTCTCTGTCTCTTTCTCCTCTTCTCTCTCTCTCGCTCCCTCTTTCTCTGTCCCCCCCTTCACCCTTCCTCCTCCATAACCCCCTGAATAAATATTCAACCTCACCCTGCATGTCATGTCTATCCATGTTTTTGTCTTCTGCCCGCCATGTGTCTCCCTGCCTGGGACCATCACTGCTCTGAGACCAGCAGCCGTCTCTGCCTGGGACTGGCTGCTCCCAGGGCCCGCTACCACTGTTTGGGACCTACAGCATTTCTGCTGCCTACTGCCACGGGGATCTTGCAGCATTTTTTAAAAAAGAATAACAAATCTAACCCTGATTTAAAATATATTGAGCTGTTCTCTACTATTGTCAGTTCTGCTGTTAACCTTCTATTGCAAGCAATTTTTCTTCTTTCTGTCTTTTTATGAGTGTAAATCTTGCCTGCTAAGTTGGAAGTCAGTACACTCAAGCTTGGACCCAGCTCTCCAGGCAGATTCTATACTGATAAACAGCGTTTAATTGTTCAGAGATCTGGGGATTATGGCGTTTAAATACTTAATTATTTAAAAACTTCATAACAAAAAGAGACAGGTTGGGCCGGGCGGTGGTGGCGCACGCCTTTAATCCCAGCACTCGGGAGGCAGAGGCAGGCGGATCTCTGTGAGTTCGAGACCAGCCTGGTCTACAAGAGCTAGTTCCAGGACAGGCTCCAAAACCACAGAGAAACCCTGTCTCGGAAAACCAAAAAAAAAAAAAAAAAAAAAAAAAAGAGACAGGTTGGCTCCTAGCAATAGCACTCTATTTTCTCCAAAGACAGAAGAACAATGTCCATCTGCAATTTGCTTCAACTGCCAAGCACTGACCACTGGGAAAAACTACCTTTCACTGAAACTGAAGATCTCCAGACATGGACAGAATCACTAGAATCAACAGCCTAGCTGCTCAGGTCAAGGTAGGCTTGTCTTCCTACAGATTTCTTAGCCCACAGGATCTTCTGGAGCCTGGCAGGCCCTGTGTTAAACAGCAAAAGGCAAATATGACCCTCAATAACCATGGAGGACCCTGAGGAGTAGCTCTAGGTGCCAACCAAGTAAGTTCTCTGCCATTTTTAAATCAATAACTCAAGTAAAATTTCATCCTTCTCAAAGATCTCTGATGCAGTTTGACAGCTGAGAGGTTTTGTCAGTTTAAAAGGACAACCTCCCCAAATTTCAGTAAACTACAAATACAAGTTATTAAGGCATGTACATGCAAGTTATAAAAGTGTGAGGACAAGCACACGCTATCAAATTCTCTCTCATACTGCCCTTCATAGTCTTAAAGATACTTTTCATTTTGCAAAAAAAAAAAATCTGTCACAGTCATTCTGATGTCTAAAACTTAAATTTTCACAGACAAAAAATTCTTGTGAGTTCTAGGGAGCCTAGTTGAAGAATCTGTCTTAAACAGGTCAGATAGATTCACCACTCTCAATTTCCTGGTCCTAATTTCTTTTCCTAAACTTAAGTTTGTCCTCTATTCTGACAATATCTTAAACAGATATAAGAGACACCAGACATTTCCATACCACAAATACCAGACAGGAACAAAGAGACCAGCTACATCAGAATGTAACCAGCACCCAGCTTTCTCAGGTTCCCCTTCCCCCGATGATGCCCACATATAAGCAGGAAGCAGTCTTGAAAACCCATCGCCCTAATTTCTTTAACATGTTGTGCCTAACCTTCCACCTTTTTATTATAAAAAGGGATGGGAATGTAATGGTCTGTCCTGTCCCTTTAAGAGTCAAGCCCTGCCCACTCCCTCCCCCATCCACCACTGAGGCAGGTGGATCTTCCTTCTGCTTCCAGTCTGAGCTCCCTTCCTTTCCATCTCTCTCCCAAAGAGATAGCTGCTGCCATGGTTCTTTCTCTCTGTTTCTTTCCTTGTCCCCCTTATCCCTCCCTCTCCCCTTCCCTTCCATAACCCACTAAATAAATACCCAACCTCACTCTACATGGCCTGCCTAGCTGTCTCAGTCTCTTACCCACCATGTGGCTCCCTGCTTAGGACCCACTGGGCCACTTGGGGGCTCCCTGCTTGGGACTGGCTGCTCCATGGCCTACCAAGGTCTTGGGACCCACTGCCTACTGCTGCCACTCGGGGACCTGCCTAGTTTCTGCCTCCACACTCCTCAGGGAACCGCAGCATTTTATTTTTACCGTAACAGGGGAGAATGAGAAAAGAAGAGAAGAGATTATGGGCAAAGATTACAGGGGGTCCTATGGAGCCCAGGGCATCTTAGCCACACAACTGTGTGACAGACTTGATAAAAACCAGTCAAGAGAGTAGGCCTAAATTTCCAGCTATTGTCAGGTAGCACCTGGTGGTTCCAGGAAAAGCCATAAATGATACAATTCAGGGATGGGCCAGCATCAAAGGTGAAGGACCTAACATTCCAAATGTCCCAACCACAAGATAAGATTAGATAAGATCACCAGATGCCCTTGAACCTGGCACACACCTCTTTCTTTTCATCAAGACACCCCTAGATAAATGCCAGCCAATTAGGGTCTTGAACCCTGAAAATCCCCTCACCCCAAACTTCTACTATGAATAAAATCCCTACTCCTTTTGGGCTGGTCACTCTCCGTTCATACAGCTGTGTTGAACACACGGAGAGTTGAAGACCAAGCTTTGCTTTAGCATATGGATTCAAACTTCTTGGTGGTCTTTGGGGGACTCTGTGATTTGGGCATACCAGGGTCAAGAGAGACAGAACCAAGAAGGCATGAGGCAAAAATGGCAGGGTTATATAAGATTGAGAAGTTAGGGGAAGGGAGACCCATGAGGACAGGGTATAGGGTGAGAAGAACCAGGATGCCAGCAGGGACTCTGTAACAGACATTTGCATGCGGAGAGCACCTGGAGGCCAGCATGCGCGTTGGTGTGCTAATAGGCACACTAATAGTTGGTTATGTATCTTGAGTTTCTTTTGGACCTGACAGAAGGAAGTCCCTGACTTAAATGTGAGCTGATCCAGTTTGAATTTAGCTGGCCTAGCTGGAGCAGCCACTACTATCTATTGTTTTTATGTCTTATTTGGGGGGGGGGGACCCATTTTTTAGTCCCTCCTGGAGCTGACCTGACTAATAGGATCAAGGTGGCAAATGCTTTCCAAAATGGTTACCCCACTTCACATTCTTTCCAACAGGTTACCATCTAAATGTATTCTCTCTGTGTTAGCAAGTGTGAAATAGTATCTCATTGTACTTTGCATTTCCCTGATGGCTAAGGACACTCACTGAGCATGGGAGTCACTGGTAGATACAATGCCTGTTGTGGAATATCATTTTAACTATGCAAAGATGTGTTACATTTGTTTGTGTTGTGGAATATTACTTTATCTATGTGAAGGTGTTTACATCTGTTTCTGCCTTTGTTAGCTATGTACTTGTTTTGGGCGGAAATGTCACTCCAGCCCCTGACATCCATATATCCAAGGAGTCTGGCATGTTTGGGCAGACCAAAGTCCCCTCCCCCCAGAGTTGTCTCAGTCCAGACTCCACCCTTGAGAAAGCCCACCATCAGTGGCTCCACCCCCAGGGGGCATTACTCCACCCCTCAAAAAGCCACTGGTGACTCCACCCACCAGGGTATTAAAAGTCCTTACCTCATGGTTTCCTCTTGTGGTATCCTCAACTTCCCCTGGGGCCACCCAGGAATGCTGTGCTCAGAATAAACCTGGATTTATTAATTCAGTTTGATTGACTTATTATATCAGTGGTGGCAGATATCTATTAACCAGGGATTTAAACTTAACATTTGGTGCCAAAATCCAGAAATGAACCAGGGATCTTGCCAACCCCCAGCTTCTCTCGGAGTTTGTGGTTTGTCTGTGTCTCTGCACTTCTGTCTCTCATTCCTGCCATGTAATTGGGTCACACTGAGATTCTCCCTGTGGTGGATCTGTTCCCCCTGCCCTTCCCCTCTGAGCTGCATAGGTGGTCCATCTTTAGTTTCTGTTTTCCTTTACAGCATCTGCTAATCTGGCCTTCAATGGGATACCTGTGTGTTTGCCTGGCTCCCACAGCCTACTGCAGGATTTTTAAATTGGCCAGCTGACAAAGTTTCCTGGAAAAAGTTCTGTTTGTCTGTCTGTTAATATGTATGTGTGACTAATGTGGCCAGCGTATGCTTGTTTTAGGTCTCTCTGTGTATGTGTGGTTGTTTTAAAATCTGTAAAATTTGTAACTCCAGATTACAACAGCTCCGGAGACGTACAAACATGTGCATAGCCATCATTTTGGTTGAGGTCAGAGTGGAAACTTCAAGCCAGCTCCTGCAGCATCCTATTGTTTGGTTGGAAGTGCCACCTTAGCTCCCTGGCACTCCTTCATCCAAAATGCCTGGAATGTTTAGTTGGCAGCTTCACCCCAGTCCCCTGGAATCCATTTTGGAATGTTGGCTGGGGGTCAAAGCCCCCTCCTCTGGGAGTGGCTGCAGTCCAGACTCCACCTCCAAGAAAGCCCACCAAACGGTGACCCCTCCCCAGGGAGGGTTAAGACCACTCCCACAGCCAGCGTTGTGGTTTTCGTGGCCGAGGAGGTGGTCGCAGCAGGCGCCCTGCCCCCGCTCTGCTGGCGCTGCGGTGGAAGCGCCTTCCCTCAGGACATCAATGGAAGCCTGAAGAAAAAGTAATTGCTTCTTTTTAAGCCATGGCATATCAGTTATACAGAAATACAACTTTGGGAAACAGTCTTCAAGAGAGCCTTGATGAGCTCATACAGTCTCAACAGATCACCCCCCAGCTTGCCCTTCAAGTTCTACTTCAGTTTGATAAAGCTATAAATTCAGCATTGGCTCAGAGAGTCAGGAACAGAGTCAATTTCAGGGGCTCTCTAAATACATACAGATTCTGCGATAATGTTTGGACTTTTGTATTGAATGATGTTGAATTCAGAGAGGTGACAGAACTTATTAAAGTGGATAAAGTGAAAATTGTAGCCTGTGATGGTAAAAATACTGGCTCCAATACTACGGAATGAGTAAGAAATGCGGCTTTTTTATGCCACCTTCTGTTATTTTCATCGCTTTTTGAAGAGAAACATAGAAGAGACTTTTTTTAAATTTATTCTCACGGTGCAGAAATGACAACACTGTGCTATACTATCCAAGGGTTCCACAGAGAGAAGCATGTGGCTCTGTTCTCTTACATGACCGTTAGTACACAGCATAAATGGAACTTTTTTAAATGACAAATCAAAAGTGGTTGCCTTCAAAAGAATATTCTTCAATAAACTTGTTTCAAAACTTAAAAAAAAAAAAAGACCACTCCCACAGGCCATTTAAACTGCCCCCAAGAGAATGAACATGCGGTGTCCTGGTTTTCTCTGTTCTTTTTGGTTCTCCTTTCCCCTCTCTGTGTTTTCCCGGGGGGCCACCCGGGAGTGCTGGCATCCATTAAAACTGGGTGTCTTCTAACTTGGTTTGATTTGGTCTGATTGGCTTATTGCATTGGTGGAGAGGTTTGTCGGTCCAAGAAAATATTTAACACCTGTACTTCTAAGAAGACGCATGGCTGCAGAAGCACTTCCTCCGGCAGGCTTGCCTTTGGATATGGCAAAGCTGCATACACAGCAAAACACTGTCTTTCATTTGGTCGGCTGCCTGGACCCTGCTTGGACTGGACTACCCTGTGGGATCGATTGTCTCATTTTTGCCAAGACAGGTAGACTGAACCCTATCGCCACAGGAAAATCTGTCAGGCCTCCTGGGTTTAGCAGTTAAAGGCAAGCACTGCTTCTAAGTCTGGTATTCACCAAAGATTACGGAGAGGCTTGGCATTGCCTGAGTAACTGGAGAAACTGTCTCAATTCTACTCATTTATCCCTCTCAGATATGTCTGATGGTATCTGATGACTTAGGATACCCGTAGCTCATTAGTTTATTAGTTAAGTTTACTGCTAAAAATTCAGACAGGTGGGCCTTTTTCGTTAAGCTTCATAGTCCAGGTTCTAACAGGTTTCAGATATTACTTCGGAGGTTCCTAGGAGAAGTTCTGCTGCTGTATCAAGAAATCTGGTCCGCTAAAATTTATCAGTCTCCAGAGCCTATTTTGACCCCACCCATTTTCAACCATATTTTATAGGTCACTCCTGCTGGCTGGGCCAAGACCAACTTACAGGGGGTCCTCCAGATAATGCCAGTACCCACACCAACTCCTGGGACTTGACCATTTGGTACCACCTCTCCAGGCTCAAGTGTGCACCAACCCTGCAACTGAAGTCTGGTTTAAAGGGCATATCTGCTCTTGTGTCTCACTCATTCACCGTTGCCTCTCCTGTACAACTTGGGCACTTCTCCAGCTATCATTCTGGTAGTTGTCACCCTTCCATGGCTAGCCCTGTTCAGAGGGCTGATAATAACAATCTTTTTTTTTTTCTCCTAGCAACTTCTCAACTTCCTCAAGAAACAGATGCCAGGATGCCTCACCACCCATACCTCCTGTTGAGAGTGAGCCCACCAATGCCCAACTCTCCCCTCCCCCATGTCACCCCATGCCAGCAGGAAGCAGTCAGATATGAACCAGCATCCATATAACCAGAATCTGGAATGTTTGAATGGAAGCCTCACCCCAGCCCTTGGCATCATATATCCAAAGAGTCTGTGGTGTTTGGGTGGAAGTTCCACCCCAAGCCCCCTCTCCTGGAAGTTGCCTCAGTCCAGACTCCACCTCTGAGAAAGCCCACCAAATGATGAGCCCTCCCCAGAGATGCCCAAGACCACACCCACAGAGTCCTTAAACTGCCCCCAGAGAACAAACCTGAGGTTTCCAGTCTTCCTTTCCTGTCTATTCTCTGGGGAGCTGGAAAGCCATCCGGGAGTGTTTGTATCCATTAAACCTGGGCTTTTTCTAATTTGGTTTGATTTGGTCAGTTTTGGGTTGTTGCTTATTGTGATGCAGATACTTTTCAGTGAAGATGTGTTACATTTGTTTCACCTTGCCTGCCTAAGGCACCTAATTGGTCTAATAAAAAAGCTGAATGGCCAATATCTAGGTGGGAGAGGACTAGGTGGGACTGGTGGGCAGAGAGAATAAGTAGGAGAAATATAGGCCCCAGAGAGAAGAGAAGGAAGGACAAGGAGAGGGATATGCCTGGGGCTAGAAGCCAGGCAGTTACCAGCCAGACATGGAGACAGCAGAAAAGCAAAATATACAGAAAGAGAGAGAGAGAGAGAGAGAGAGAGAGAGAGAGAGAGATTGATTAAAGGCCCCAAGGAAAAACATAGATAAAGAGAAAAAGATTAAAATAAGAACATTTATAAATAATAACAAGTCATGATTTGGGAGCTGGTTGATGGCCTAAAAGAAAAAGCCTGCTACAAGTACCCCTTTCATAGGCTTAGTCTCATAGATAAGAAGAATTTAAAATGAAGTCAGGATGAAACTTGAAAGAAATACGAGATGCAAGATGGAAGAGAGGTAAAAAACCACAAGGCAAACTGTAGATTAATACAAATGAGTTAATTTAAGTAATAAGAGCTAGTGGGACAAGCCAAAGCTATAGGCTGAGATTTTTTTTAAAAAAAAAATATTTATTTATTCATTATGTATACAATATTCTGTCTGTGTGTATGCCTGCAGGCCAGAAGAGGGCACCAGACCCCATTACAGATGGTTGTGAGCCACCATGTGGTTGCTGGGAATTGAACCCAGGACCTTTGGAAGAGCAGGGAACGCTCTTAACATCTGAGCCATCTTTCCAGCCCCTAGGCTGAGCTTTTATAATTATTAAGTCTCTGCATCATTTTTTTTTGTGTGTGTGTAAAGGAGGGCTACTTTTTTTTTTTTGAGTTAATCTTGTATCCTGTCTCATTACTGAAAGTGTTTTGGGTTGTAGAAGTTCCTTGGTAGAATTTTTCATGTTGCTTATGTGAACTATCATATCATCAGCAAATAGTGAGAGTTTGACTTCTTTTCCGATTTGTATCCCCTTGATCTCCTTTTGGTGTCTTATTATAGACCTCAAGAACTATATTGAATAGATATGGGAGAGAGTGGACAACCTTATCTTGTTCCTAATTTCAGTGGAATTGCTGGGAGTTAAATCTTTCCTTTTAATTTGATGTTGGCTTTTGGCTTGCTGTATATTGCCTTAATTATATTTATGTATGTTCCTTGTATCCATGCTCTTCCAAGACCTTTATCATAAAGTGATGTTGTATTTTGTCAAATATTTTTTCAGCATCTAATGAGATGATCATGTGGTTTTTATTTTTCAGCTTGTTTATATGGTGGATTATGTTGACAGATTTTCGTATGCTGAACCATCCCTGCATCTGTGGGATGAAGCCAACTTGGTCATGGTGGATGATGGTTCTGATGTGTTCTTGGATTCGATTTGCCAGTATTTTATTGAGTACTTTTGCATCAATGTTCATGAGAGAGATTGGTCTGTAATTTTTTTCTTAGTATTGTCTTTCTGTAGTTTGGGTATAGGGTAATTGTAGCCTCATAAAAAGAGTTTGGCAATGTTCTTTCTGTTTCTATTGTGTGGAACAATTTGAGGAGTACTGGTATTAGTCCTTCTTTGAAAGTCTTGTAGAATTCTGAGCTGAAACCATCTGGTCCTGGGCTTTTTTTAGTTGGGAGACTTTTGATGACTGTTTCTTTCTATCTATTTCTTTAGCAGTTATATCTGGTCTTGATTTAATTTTGGTAAGTGATATTTTTCCAGAAAGTTGTCCATTTCCTTTAAGTTTTCCAACTTTGTGGAGTACAGGTTTTCAAAATATGACCTGATGACCCAATGTATTTCCTCCATGTCTGTTGTTATGTTCCCCTTTTCATTTCTGATTTTGTTAATTTGGATATTCTCTCTCTGCCTTTTGGTTAGTTTGGATAAAGGATTGTCTATTTTGTTGATTTTCTGGAACTAACTCTTTGTCTCATTGATTCTTTGTATTGTTTCTTTGTTTCTATTTTGTTGATTTCAGCTCTCAATTTGATTATTTCCTGCCATCTAGTTCTCTTGGGTGAGTTTGCTTTTTTTGTTCTAAAGTTTTCAAATGTTCTGTTAAGGACTAGTGTAGGATTTTTTTCCAGCTTCTTTATGTAGGCATTTAGTGCTATGAACTTTCCTTTTAACACTGCTTTCATTGTGTTTTATAAATTTGGGTATGTTGTGTGGTCGTTTTCACTGAATTTTAGGAAGTCTTTAATTTCTCCCTTTATTTCTTACTTGACCCATTGATGCTTTAGATGAATGTTGTTTAATTTCCATGTGTCTGTGGGCTTTCTGGACTTAGTGTTGCTGTTGAATTCTAATTTTAAGTTATGGTGATCTGATAAGATACATGGGGTTCTTCCATTTTTTTTTTTTTGTATCTGTTTAGGTTTGTTTTATTACCGAGTATGTGGTCAATTTTTGAGAAGGTTCCATGAGGTGCTGAGAAGAAGGTATATTCTTTTATGTTTGGATGGAATGTTTTATAGATATCTGTTAAGTCCATTTCAGTCATAACATCTGTTAGTTCCCTTCTCTGTTAAGTTTTGGTCTAACTGACCTATCCAGTGGTAAGAGTGGAGTGTTGAAGTCTCCCACTATTAGTGTGTGTGGTTTAATCTTTAGAAGTTTTTCTTTTACTTGTGCCCTTGTATTTGGGGCATAGATGTTCAGTATTGAGATTTCCTCTTGATAGATTTTTCCTGTGACTCATATGAAATGTCCTTCTTTGTCTCTTTTGACTGATTTTCGTTTGAAGTCTATTTTGTTAGCTTTTAGGATAGCTACACCAGCTTGTTTTTTAGGTCCATTTGGTTGGAAAATTTTCTCCCAACCCTTTACTCTGAGGCGATGTCTGTCTTTGAGATTGAGGTGTGTTTCTTGTATGCAGCAGAAGGATGGATTCTGTTTTTGTATCCAATCTGTTAGCCTGTGTCTTTTTATAGGTGAGTTGAGTCCATTTATATTAAGGGACATTAATGACCAATGATTGCTGTCTCCTGTTAATTTAGTTTTTGTTGTTGGTGGTGCTATTTTGTGTGTTTTTCACTTCTTTGGGATTTACTGTTGTGAGATAATTGTGTTTTTGTTGATCTAGTCAACCTTGGGTTAGAGTTTTTTTCTAGTACTTTGGGATGATGTTCTTTCTATGGGAT